GAGAGAAAGAGCGTTTCGTCGCCCGTGCGTAGAGATTTCCCGTCGAAGATAGCGAGAGAGAGAAAGAGAGAGAGAGAGAGAGAGAGAGAGAGAGAGAGAGAGAGAGAGAGAGAGAGAGAGAGAGAGAGAGAGAGGGCGAGAGAGAGAGTCAGTCAGTCAGTCAGACTAAATTTTCTTCTGATGTTTTGTCTAGCGTGACTCGTGATACCCTGATAGAAATGCGTGAAAGCATCTGTTTATTTACCGTAAACCGTTATATTTTATTTAGCGTTTAGCGTGAATTTATTTTTCAATGATTTTAAACGAATTTTTGATCTCTTGATTCAACTATTTTCACACACTGTCATCCACAGCGCAGACTGGTCCTCGTCTCGACATATGTCTATTGAGATATCTCTACTCACAATAAGGCTTACTACATCCGTTGCGGATTTAGGGGGGATTGGGTGGCTAGCTACCCCCTCTGTTGGACTAACAATATTTTTACATAGTTACATAGTATATAATTGAGTGGCAACGCAGGTTACAACCCTTTTGCAGCCTTTTCACCATTCCAAGAAAGAGTTGCACATCGGTGGTCACCACTACACATTGAATAATGAACGCGACTTAAACAATGCCGTGATGTGCATGATGTGATGTGCAATGAGTGATGTGTGTGTTTTTGAACACACACGCGCGCCCACATGCACCCGCACACGCATACGATCGCTAGGACGCACGCACGCACGCACACAGAGAGGGGGCGAGAGAAAGAGAGAGTTTAAGAATGTGTGTTAGTTCAACATGTCTTGATAATAAAACGAAAATTACATGATTATAGTTATAGTGATCTTTAGTGATCTGGCATCTTGTTGCTCATGAAGAGAATAGTTCTACTAAAAAGATAATTGTCGTAGTCAGAATGAAGGCTGTACATTTACTCAAAAGTGCCTCAAATGCCATATCCTATGATCTACATTTTCAACATTTTTGTGGGAGGACCCCCAGAGGGAGGACACCCGCCTCTGTGCGTACACATCCATTTCACCCTAGCTACGCCCCTGGCGGTATTACGTACGTCTGTACGTTCGGTATGATAGACGCGGTACGTATAACGTCTGTACGCACGCCGCGTGTACTCACAGTATTAGATCGGGCGTTATACAAGTCATACAACGCTTTAGCGGCCTCATAAACTAAATAGGCATTCGCTGTCAATTTATGGTTTATGTCAATTTATGGTTTATTCGCTGTCAAATCATGATTATTTCTCATTTTTGTGAACGCATTGTGCAACTTATGATAAAAAAATAAAAAACATAAATTTTCATAAAATATGAAATTCATAAATAGGATGGCCGAGAGGTTGCGCTGTAGTGCCGCCCAAATAGTTTTTACCGGGAATTTCGATTCCGTATGCTAGTTATTTCACTTATTTGTGCTGACACTGTTGTGAATTTTTTCGTTATGATTTGATGTTGGCCTTAACTGTGCGGAACTTGAGAAGTTAGGTTGCTGTGTGGTGCTTGTGTTGGTGCAGAGTCACTCACACTCACTGCAGACTTCCACCTTCAAAGTTCAAAATATGTCTCATTCAGAGGTACAGACTATAACGATCCCAACGAACATTCTTTTGAGAAGGTTCCTGATACCATCCCTGTGCATTCCACTGTTTCGGCGTGTATGTGAACACATTTGGGACTAACGGTTTACTAGAATCCCACCACTCCACCACAGAGTCACCGCAGTAGACGTTAGATGAGCGCTGTCGCTCTGCGGCACTTGTTAAAATTACCATTGCATTATAATTTAAATTTAGGTGCAAAGAGTATATTCACGTATGCAACCTCGACGAGTTAAGATGACGCTGACAGTCCACCGGACTAATTGTTGCTGCAATCTGCTCATCTGTCAGTAAATCTGGTTTCGAACCCTGGTTACAGTACAATTTAAATTTAGGTGCAAAGAGAGCGAAATCTTCCTGTATTCAACCTTGATGAGGCTGTACAGGGAGGCACGCAGCATCGTGGGCATGAACAAGAGGCCAGTTACCGATATGGCCTGTACACAACTGACAACCGAGTACTGGACCGATTTCAAGTACGTCACATATTTTTCACCACAAGAACCTGATCTAATTTAACACTAATACGTTCGAGTATAGGAAAATAGTTTTAAAATTTTATCTGGAGTTTGCTGTATGTTGAGCTGTATAATGTATTTATTTGTCCATCCTATTTATAAGATGTTCAAGGGTCAGACATTGTTCAAATATGATGTGATTGTTATGTGATGCGTGATATAAGGAATCGTCCACGAAATATTTTCATGAAAAGGAAGTGTGAAATACATTTGTTTCTCACGCCAAACTGTCCCTTTGCAAGTGGTTGCTCTCTCAACAATTATTTACATAATTACAGAATGCGCTGCATCCATCACGTTATTATGGAACTCGGCACCGTTCGTTTCTCACGCGACTTGTAGGCTGTGAGGACGATCAGTTGCAGTCTACCGTTAGTCCATATACAGGAAGGTAGGCTACTAAATTAGAATATAGAATTTAGAATATAGGTCAAGTATAGAATCCACTGCCGCTTCTGTAACTGAACGAAAATTAGCGTGCCACCGAAATTTACATTCTGATTGAGTTCGCACTGATAGCAATGCTGTTGCACGAACGATGTGTGTGAAATTTTTCTCACCCTCCAAAGGACTCCGGGACCATCTCAATGTTGAGGGTCTATGACTGGCTATATTTGCTGTTGCCGTATAGGCATTCGTCTTGTATCTGTGTTTTTCTATACCCTATGTGATTGCTCTATGCAAGTATATAGTACTTATTATTAGCTTATCTGACGTAGTCGGGTGCAGCTTGTAGAATCGCATGATTGTTCGTCCGTCCGGCCGTCCGTCCGTCCGTCCGTCCGTCAACAGTTGGGCACAAATCTTAACCGCTCGACGTACGGTCACGATATTCGGGATGTGGGGGGGTAATCCGAAAACGAGTTGGGATGTCGAAGCTGGTGGTCAAAGGTCAAAGTTCAAGAGGTGTAAAAGAAGGGGGAACATTCCCTCTTTAACTTAAGGTATAGGGAGGAAATGCAGAATTGCGGCACAAATCTAAACGGCTCGACCTAGGCTCGTGATAGTCGGTGTATGGCATCATGGTAGGAAAAGCCATCACTGTGTCGAAATTGGAGGTCACAGGTCAAAGGTCAATGGGGCACAGGGCAAATTTTAGACATTTTCTGAGGACATGGTCTGACGGAGCGATTGAAAAACTTTTTTGTTTCAGCGATGACCTACCATTTTTATGGCTTTATTGAAAGGACCATGAAATGTACTTTCCGCTGACATGCGAAGAGTAAGTGTCGGATAACCTTTTGACCCTCAAGAGAAGGGTTAAACATGGATTTGTTTACTGTTAGAAAGAATTTGACTGCCAGGTTTGCTAGTAGAATCTATACATGCCTGGACTTCTAGTCTACAAGCGTTTAACTGCTCGTCTATGACAAACGTCCTTGGCCGTGTTACTGCCACAGGCCTAAAGTAAACTTGTGATCAAGCCTGAGCTTCTGTCTAATTATACGGAAAATTGATCGGTTTCTACATAGGGCTGATTAGTAGCCGCGCTGGAAACATGGCTTCAGTGTTTTTAGTGGCTGATTGTGAGGCCAAAGCTGTCACCAAGCTGACGAGAAGTTAGCGACATGCGTGGTCTGCAATTTTTGGCCTCTGTGTGGCGTGTTTAAGGAAGGCACCGCAGTCAATCAGCGCAAAGTCTCAATCTCTCAGTACTGTCTCCTAACCTTGGTGATGGCTTAGTCGGGCCGAAGTTTTTTTTTTTTTAAACACCTTTCCATCTGTTCCATACGCTGCATGTGGATTGCAGGATCACCACTAGGAGGCCATCGGATAGCAATTGGCGGCGCAAACACCATATACTGAATACAGCGCGTAGGGCGCTAAACAGATCCTTGCTTAACCCATCGCTTACGGGGAATAGGGTCACGAGCATCGCACCATCAATCAAGCCACCTATTGGCCTGTCATACCATGCATGAAAGCTGGCCTAACCCATGGGTGATAAATGTTAGCCGGGCAGGCCAAATTTATGCCATGATCGTCCAAAGAGACCGTCGAGCCTACTAAAGCTTGCTGCGAATGCTTTGTGAGGTGCACAAATGTTGTTGTAGAGCTGGCCTGTTCTGGCTGCGAGAGGCATTTCTCGCTGCAAACTGTCGTGAGCAAAGATCATGTCCAACTGTAGCCTCTACCCTTCTAAAGAGCCACATTGAATTTTCAGTGGTGCTGGTGTGGCCCTGACGGACTTGCCGGACGCGCGGTTTTTGCGTGCGCTTTTTTGCTCCCCTTAGACAAGCATACCTTAGGGACAGGGGTCTGAAAACGGAAGACCAGGGGTCAATGTTTTACGAAGACGGCGGAGGGTGACATTTGCCAGCCTCCCTCTCCCCCGGGCTCAACGTGTGCGGCCGAGCATCGTTTGAAATACTATGATCCAACAAACGCTGGCTCGGCGGAGTATTTGCCGCGCGCGGTGACTTTCCGTGAGTAAAATAGATTTTGTTTATTATTTAGGCATTAACATTTTATTGAAAACGCTGCAAGTGGCATGCTTGCATGTGCCTGCGGCTGGCGGGCAGCATTGATGCATGTATATAGCATACCTCATATTAACCGTGGCGGCGACGAGCGAGCGGACAGAGAGAGAGAAGAGAGCAGAACCGTGGGGAGTGCCGAGAAGAGAGAGAAAGAGTGGGAAACGCCAGATAAATGTACGAAATACGGCAGCGTAGACAGTCCGAGCGGGCAGGATGTACAAACCGCGTGTCCAATCTAATAATCGGGAAAAGGCGCCCTCCAAAGCCGCATGTATCCCCCCGGGAGCACACACGTAGCGTACGTACAGATGTAACGTGTCTCCGAAAACTTGGCGGCGATGTTAGGCTGCCCGCTATAGGCGCATTTTCGCCGGCACCGCCTCCTTCGTACGGCGCGCGCGAATTCGTATATCGGGGGAGCGCGCGAAGATGCCTACATACAACACCCCGCGGTCGCGCTGCGCCAGTCCCAGCGAGAACTGTTGCGCGGCTTAACCGCTTTCGACGGCGTCCGGGGAAACAACGCATCTTTTTGCGGCAACGCGCGATCTTTGTACCCGCGTTCTCTCCGTTCAAGTGCATAGTTAAGTCGATTGAGCATTAGCTCTGGTGAGTATCTTGCCAGCTATGACAAGCAGGGAGGATGCTCTATGGTTATCACACACTTTACGATGACGCTTTTCTTTTGAACAGGGCTGGAGAATTAGATTTCATCCGTTTAGTTCTTGTGCGAATTTATAGGACGCCTCCTCCAGAATGAACAAAATAGTCTGTGAGCTTCTTGGTGAAGGTGGGCCTCAAGTCTTGCTAAATCTCGCGCTGGCGGATGCTTCATCGGATCCAGGGGCCTTTGCTGCGGCCAGCTGCTTGTATGGCTTTTCTTTACTTCATGCTGCCTCAGGCGGAAAAAAAAGGTCCATGCTCAGTGGTTGATATTTCGACCTGTTCAATGCGATCAAGTAATGGCATCATCATTTGATGTTAGATGGATCTGCTTTGCACAGCTTGGAAATGTTCAGCGCCATCTTTGCAGGGATCTTATCTTATCGTGTGATGAGCGTTGTGACATTCTCCACTCAAGAGTAGTGTGAAAGTTCCCGACGACTGTGGTCTATATATAGGGCCGTTTAGTGCAGCCATAGAAAGCGTCTTGAGTCGTCGTGGCAAATGATTGAATGCCATCAGGCTTTCCTGCGCAACCATGAATGCTTGCAATTTGTCTCAAGCTTAGGCTGGGACAGTTTGGCCAGAATGTCTGTTGAATAAGCTGTTTTCTTTTGAAGGTGGAGGTAGGGATCATTGATGTAGGCCGCTGTTGAAGGGCGCCTGCTTTTCTTGAAGATAAGTCTTTATTTCTTCATAGCTGCTCATCACAAACCAAATCCGTGGTTTTTTCTTAGTTCTGCGCCACCAAGAATCTCATACGATGCTTGCAATAAACACCGTCTTACTTAAATGTCTGCACCAGTCATTTACATACATCCCCAGCAGGGATGAAGACAGCAAGGCTTGGCATGTGAGCCTTCGTTTAACAGCTTTGGGTCGCGCGCAGTAACATTTGAATTCAGGTTGGAGAACATTGAGGCCTCTGTGTGGTCGTTTTCCTGGCTGGGACGCCTTCTTTGGGCTGGATGCAGATGTTGAGCTTTTGAGCATGATAAGTGAGTGGTGCTGCGTCCAGCAATCAGCACGCACACATGAATTAGTTACCTCTGATCATTTTGGCGCTGCTCCCTTTGTTGCCTAATGACATAGTCCGATTAAGTGCCAGTGCCTTTAGAACGTGGGTGCACCAGAGAGTTTGTTTGCGATTCGGTAGGCAGAAGCACTGTGTTGCCGTTATGCACTAGTTTATGATGGGCACAGGTTTTCAGCAGGAGCAGCCGGCCATTGCTGTTGCAGTTTACCCACAGCATAATGGACCGCTACTATGCTTTTCGGCCACAGTCATGGTGGTCAGTGACAACAGCGAACATTG